AAAAGGTAGTATGAAAGAAGGATATAGGTAGGGCCTTTTGAAGGAAGAAGATAATTGTTATAGGTATTATATATGGAAGGAATAGTATGATGAAATGACACAGAGTGGGAGAGATCACAAAGTACATTTGAGGAACAGCAAGATGAGTATTTAGTGAAAGCTGACACACATATGGTGTATTTTATTCATTTATTCAACAAATATATATAAAGCATTTACTCTGGGCCAATATGGCAAAATAACATGGAAGGGAAGTTTCCCATCAAAGAATGAAGGATTCTGAATGCCAGAAAAAAAAATACACAGGTATTGAATTGCCATTAAAGATAAGTAAACAAAACAAAACTGAATGTGATTCATGCTATACTTTAGAGCTATTAACTTTGCAGCAATGAATAGAATGAGTATAGTTAGAGGCTTAAAATTTACTTAATTGATAATTTCAATGTTAAGTGTGTATACTGAGAGAATATTTGGATAGCAGCTTCCATACAGTTGGGTCTGGGGTCCAGAGTCAGAAAAAAATTTCCATAACTTGATACCTACTTAGTAAGTATTTAGGGAGAAATCACAGAAGAAAATCCACCCCCCCACACATACACCTCAGAAGGATCAAAGTAGATGACACCCCCTTACCACAGATTGTTTTGCTCAAAAGGGGTGGATGTATTTCCACATTTTACTGTATTTTTATTTAATAAAATGGCCACCGTAATGGTTTTCTTCATTAGTGATATAACATTCTCAAAGTGAAAATATTTTGTTATTAAATATTTAATTTTAATTTCAAAAATTTTTAGGTATAGATGGACACAATACCTTTATCTTATTTTTATGTTTATATGGTGCTGAGGATGGAACTTAGTGCCTAATACATGCTAGCAAGTACTCTAACACTAAGCCACAGCCCCAGCCCTTAATAAGTCATTAAATATTTAATAAGTGATTCCTAACACATGCCCGAAGAACTCTAATTTTAAAATTTGTAATGTTTCAAATTCTGAGTTAATATCCCTTAGCCAATAACAGAATATTGGAAAACCATTAATACTCTCAAAGGGAAACAAAAAGGCACAGAATAAAAAAGAATTAAAACTGAAGGCTGGTTGTGGGGGTACACTCCTGAAATCCCAACTGTTCATTAGGCTCAAGCAGGGGGACTAAAATCCAAATCCAGTCTCATCAACTTCTCAAGACCCTATCTCAGAATAAAAAATAAAAAGAATTAGGTATAGCTCAGAGGTAAAGTGCTCCCAGGTTTAATTCCTGGTATGGCAAAAACAAGCAAACAAAGGAAAGATTTTTTTTTCCTCCTTTGTATAAGCATTATTAAATCCTGTAACTTAAAAAACTACATATATTCTAATAGAATTATAATAAAATGTTTAGACATAATTCACAGTGTTAAAATTATTTATATTCTCTGGAAGCCAAGAGCATCCCTCCTTAAAGTATAAAATAAGGTTTTGCCTTCTGCCAACTCCTTGTTCTCACAGCTGAACTGTCACAGCATGAAAACATTCCCCTACTGGTAAAGCTTTAGATACCTATTTCCCTGATGAAAGAGTGCAAAAGGAAGTGAAAGAGTTGTTGACAATTCATACAGTATCTTATACTCCATTACTCTACAACTATAAGAAAAGAAATATTTTAACTCTGAAGGGAGATGAGCAACAACGTTCTAAATGATTGGTGACTTCACAGAGTAGCCAGAAAATGTCAAGACTCAAGTATAACAGGTTCATAAGAGACTTAAGATTATACAAGAATCTAATTTTAAGAAGTCTATTTTTTTGTTCTGTTTCCTAAGTTAAAGGTTAATGAGAAGTATAATAAAGAAAACATTTTCTGTTACCTCAAAATATTTCTCATGCAGTATAAGAACATAAATGAATAAGTATTTTAATTTACTTCTTCATTATCTTTTTAAAAAATATTCACTGAAGTATAGTTTAACATTTATTCATTTTCATTTAAATGTCCAATTTAATGACTTTTAGTAAATTTAAAGGTGTGCAATCTTTTCCACAATCTAATTTTAGAACATTTCCATCACCCCAAATCTATTAACTTCTTGATCTCTATTTCCATAAATTCACAGAAGCCACTGTAAAGCTATTGTATATTCAGAGCCACACAAATTTCTGCAACTAAGAAGAAAAAGTGCAAACCAACTCTAATTTTAATGACCTTTATAACCAATCCTCTACTCTGGCACCAGAAAGCAAATGTTCAGGTGCTTGCACTGAAAGTTAAATCATTCTAAGTATTAAGTTATGGCACACTGTCTTGGAAAGAAATTAATTATATTTTTGTTGGTAACACATTTCAGGCTGTTTACACAGCTGACATTTCTCAGCTGTACCCAAATCATGCCCTAAGCTGTGAGGACTATCTTGTTTTGTAGCAGATGCCTCCACTTGAAGTGATTTCAGTAAGTATAAAAACACCACTTCCTGCAACAATATAGATTACAATCATCAGCCTTACAAGTTTTTATGGTCTTCAAGAAAGATTTAATGACAATTATTTGGCTATGATATCCTTAGAAGTCTAAAGCCATTTTTTGCTTAAACTGAAGCACTGGAGCAAGCAGATCTGCCGTGGCAACCAGTTAAAAGCAGCCTAGCCCTAAACAGCTTTGTTGTATCAAATCATGTAGCTCAAGGCCACATTCTGCCAATGTGGCAACATTTGCTCTGAAGAAGTGGGCAGCGCCACTTCACAGGTTCTGGGACAAGGTGCAAATATGAATAACGAGACAAAAAGAATCAAGCCTCTTAATGGGGATTCCAAACTCTTGTACTTATTGTGATTTAGATGCAGCACTAGGTAGCATTACATTCTTGGATATTGTGGATACTGTTAGTTTCACCTGCTTTCCATATTGTCCTATAGCAGTAAAACTGCATTACAATCATTTGGTAAAAATTTAAATGTTATAAAAATCATTACACATAGGTCTCATAAAAGACTGTGTCAACTGAATTTAATGATTTAGCACTGAAAATGTGTAAAGACACTTTGTTATAGAAGAATTGTTCATATTTCATTGAATTTTCCTCTTGAACTTACACCTGATGAGCCTATTTCAGTCTGGTTTCTACAAGTATGCAACACAAGACATTTTTGCTTAAACTCAAGCACTGAAGTTAATGAATCTGTTCTGAAGCCAGTGTAGTCTCACATTTCTAGACTTTCTTTTATTACTTTATGCAATAAGGTAATAAGCCTTATTACATATGGTTTATTATAACCTTGCTCTTAAACCAGATATTTATTTTTGCTTTAAAACTTTTATCATGGAAACCTTTAAATAATATATAAACTTAATACATCCATTGCTCAGATTCAATAATGATCAATAGATACCTAATTTGTATTGCCTTTATTCTTACTCAAATCTCAGACATCATTTCATTATTTAAACAGTCAATTCTTGCCTATGGTCCTTTTTGCGTTATCTTAATATTAATTACAATATTAACTCTCAGATACAGTGCCTACTATGAGCCAGGTAGTGAAAATATATTATCACTAATCATTATAACAATGTTGCAAAAGAGTGAGGTAAGTGAAGCTCATAGAATTTTAGTGAAATGCTCAGATTTTATTAATTATTTTCTTCTGTTAATGTTATTATTTATTGTAACAGGTTTTTAGACAATACAACCAACATTTCTAGTTTCCTCATGTCTCCTTAGTAAACAGTAGGCTGACAATTATGAATAATAAAACTTTTTGTTTTTATAAACACGTCATAAATTTTCTACCAAATTTCCCAACCTAACAAAGAAAACAAAACAACTATAGCCACTATTCTTAGTAATGGTGAACCAGCCAATAAGTCTAATGATATAATATTAATGTTAAAATGAGCTTTTCAGAAATAAATGTAATTGTGTATACCTAAAACATTTTTTTTCCTGGAATCATTCATTTAAAAAATTTTTCTTTTTTGCTCTTTTCTGTTTTTTGTTTTTTTTTAAGTTTTTGTTAATTCACAAAGTACTTTCCAAAGCACAGACCCAAGCAGCATCTACATTAACCAACTCTTAAAATTTTTCTATCTTGTACCAAGAATTTTTTTTATATTAAAATGTATGATGGTGGTGCAAGAAAGGGAGAAATAGTTAGTACCCAGACAGAAATATAATATATAGTAGAAAATATAAAAAGGTAATTTAATTCTTAGTCAAGAATAATTGACTACTTATTATTACAAGAGGTTGACATAGTCCTGATTTCTTTTTAGCCTTATTTTAAAAATTAGATTTAACTTAGAATTCCTGAAACATTCTAAATTTTACTTTTATTTAATGAGCATCTTTTGAATATAGATATTGTATGGGCAAAGTGCCCAAAACCTCAGTTAACTTCCTTAGATAATATTCTCTTGGACAAGGATAATTATAGGAAATGAGACAGAAGTAGGAAAGGTTTCAAAATTTATAGTAGAAAATCACTAGAAATAAATATAACAGGTAAAAATGATAGACTAAAGTTTTTTATGAAACTGAAACTTATAGAACTGTTTAAGGCTAAAGGGCTATGAGATATCAAATTTAATCATTCATTTTTTAGAGCACCAGTATAATCTGGGAAATGTAGTCTTAATATTAAATATAATGATTAGGATGATTTTGAAGTATCTGTAATTAAGGAAAATTCTTTTGAACATTTCACTATATATATATTTATGTATGTTCTTCTGAAGAAAATATATTCTATATGAAGAAAAAATTTAAGTCAAATCAAGCAGCATCAAACTCCTGATACTGACATTCAAACATTTCCAATGGAATGTTGATGTGTTTGGCTTATAGTATTTGTTCTGCAAGTGAGCTTAAATTATTACAACTGCTTTTATTTTCACATTATTTGACTTTCTCAGGTGAATATCTGAAGCATTTGATTCTGCATGTTAGCAAGACCAATTATGACTGAAAGTGGCAAAAAAAGGGAAAAGATACAAAATTGAGAACTTGTCTGTTACTTACTGAGTCATCTGTGGCAGAGGGTGGCCAGCCCTCCCATAACTGATGTCGAACGGGTATACTTGTAAGGTCATACACATTTCTCTTTACCTATTAAAAAAAAGGGGGGGGGCACAATTATGATAGGGGTTCCACATGACTTATGGTAGTTTCAGTCTATTTATATGAAAGACAAGGCATTTCAACATTTCTTTTAGATTCAGAATAAGAATTTGAAACTAAGAAAAAACATTGTAAAAAACAAAACAAAACCAAATCTATAAGCAGAATTTTGGTGAAGGCTACATGAAATTTTTAAAATTTTTAAAGTTCTAGAAACACCATTCCTCCTTGATTATTTACTCCTCATTGACTTCAAGTTTCTTTTTAATCAAGAAACTTCAAGGACACATTTCATTTAGTACAGACTACAATTATTAATGTTTATAATTCTTTTAAGGTTTAAAGTGTGTAATTTTTTCAAATATATTTCAAGTTTCCAAATGGGAGAGAGAAACAAAGCATTGTTTGTTTGTTCTTTTTGGGGTTGGGGATGGTGAGAGACTGAAGTTGTCCTTTTTTATATACATATAAGATTCAAAGATTAAAAACTTAATAAAGCAGTATAGGTTATTTATTTCCAATGATATCAAATTAAAAACTATTTCAACACAATATTTACTAACACCAGAGCTATCCATTAGTATAATATTTATAAACTTTCTAGAAAGAATATACAGTAGAAGCTATTAATGATTTTTAAATCTGTTTTTCCCAGCAGCAACATTATACCTTTCATTTTTAAAGGAGAGGAACTGATAAGATAGGGTGTTGGAAGGTTAAACTTTATCCAGTAATCCAGTAATTAAAAAGCATCATATCTTTGGCTTTTTTTTTCTCTAAATAGCATACAGAAATTCTATTTTTTATTTGCAATTAAATTAACCAATTATAACAATGGAGAAACTAAAACTATCCACTTTAATGAACTCTAGGTTATTTAGAGCACAATTACTCTGACAAAATGTTGCACATAAGATGTTCTGTAATAAGATTTCAATATAGTTGTTCATACTTCAACAAACAGCATTCATTCATGTTTTTGAAATGCAGAAACCTGAAGTATCATATTGTCCAATTATAGCATTTTGTTATCACATTACTCTTTATTATACTATCATAAACACATCTAAGTTACCCTTCCAGTGAAATAGGGAGATATGTTCACAAGAGAAAGGAAAAACAAAACATGGAACTCAATCTATTTTTATCACTATGGTACACCTGTGGAAAAAAGGACTTAGTAAATGAGATCTGAGGAGCTTGGGACATGTCTTGATCCCCACTCAATTCAAACAAATAGCTTTTCTTCATAGTTCTTAGCAATGGTCAGTCTACCATGCATTATTTTGTTTACACTAAGTCACATCGAGTTTGGAAATTTTCATCAGTCATTATCAACCCAACAATTTCACCAAATGTAACTGGCCTATCCCTCTCACCATTTTCACTAGTTAAGACTATTCTGTTATGGATAAAGATTAGTGCTCTTAAAAGAAAAAGGTGTTCCACAAATCCAAAGAATTTTATTTTTGAAGAGGGAAAATTCAGAAGAGGGAGTATGGGTTTTCTCTGGCCTTTAAGGCAAAATTTCTTTCCTTAAAAGTTATTTTTAGATTGTCTAAAGACATCAAAATCCATCAGTTATTTGTGGAAAAGGCAGAAAAAATATTTACATCTGTTGGAAAGGTGGCAAGGCTACTCTAGTATTAGAAAGTATAGACTACTGTGAATACATAAACAAATAACTGTGGCATGAAATTCTTTAAATTCTACCTTAATTCCAAAATACAACACTATGGTATTATGAAATAAACAGTATTTTCTTCTTTCATTAACTCATCTGTAACTGCACTGAATTGAATAACATTCCTTCACTATTCTAAGCCTGAAAAGCATGTTCTGGCTATAGTGTTATGTTGGTATAAAGCACAATGCCAGACTGATGTGCTGAACAAAAGTGATCAAAGTTAGAGTAATGTTAGCCATTGCACAAGTATTTGGCTTCATTGTTCTCCCTAGAATGACATCTGTTAAGCAACTTGTCATAGAATAAACTGGTTAACGCAGACAGAACTTGGCTGAGAGAGTACCATGTAAAGCATATTAGGCTAATGTTTGATTGTTCCAATGGAAAGGCTAAATTCACAGACTACTCTAAGATTAAGCCAAAAGAATCCTGTGTTAAACCATAACCACCAAACAACAATTTAAGTAAAAACAAACTGGTTTTTCAAAAATAATTCCATGTTTATCAACAATAAGAAGATTTACCACTGTATGGAAGAAGCACAAGTGATGACAAAAATGCCAAATGCATGGTGATTTTAGTAATAGAGATAAAAACTGTTATTTTTACCAATGGTTATATTTAATTAAAATTTTAAGTCATAATCCTGCAGGAAAGGGAAAAATCCAAAATGTACACAATGATAAAGTATAAAAGATTTCTTTAAAAAATTAGAATTTTGGGAAACCTGAATAAAAAAATACAACTGTGTATAAAATTACACAAATGAATTTAAAGTCATCATGAAGCCAACAAAAGAGTTTATTCAACTCTCTCAGAGAAGGAGAATGGAGAGAGAAGGAGAGGGATAGAGACATGGGAAGAAAGATGGGGGAGGGACACAAAGAGATGAGAAGAGACAGAGGGAAAAAGAGAAAGTGAGGGGAGGAAAGTGACTGATCTGAGACTTCAGAGCACTTGAGAGGGGTGGAAAGAAAACACACACACACACACACACACACACACACACACACACGCCGGGTTGCTGTGACTGGCATGCCCAGCTGCCATTATTGTACTGCTTCTGATGGAGTTTCATCTTTAGAGACTGTTAAATTCCAGTTAAGGACAAGTGGCACTTCACTGGGTAACATTTCCTAAGGGCCTTTTTGTCTTACACATTTTCTTTGATCAGCATTGGCTCAAGACCATACCCAACCATCATAATCTTCTCAATTCTTGTTTTGCATTAAGCTCTAAATCTATGAGATTTCAGGCTGCTAAACTATGCAAATGTTTCAATTAGTTCTGGAGGAATTTAATAAATGCTTTGATTACCAGCTGAACATTAAAATTACATTACAAATTATACTGTGTTGGATCAGGAGTTCTAGATTGATAACAGATTTTCCATAGTTTATTTAGACTTTTTGAAAGGGATAATTTAATGTTTTTCTTATAGCTTCAGATAAGAAAATTGTGATTGAAATATAAATCAGATTAATTTGAAATAGTACAGAATTAATATGGAACTGATTTGTTTATCAGACTTTCATTGTTAATATCTATTTATATACCATAATTAATATTAAAAAACTAAGCCATGATCTCTATTTCAAATTTTACATTTTCTCAATCTATACAAATTTCAATGCTAAACTTAGCACTGAAAAAGATTATTTTATTATGACCTATTCAATATAAAATTATAAAAGAATTTGCATAATATTCATTTCCTACAAATTCTTCCTTTTATTCACTTAAACTTTTAATCAGTTTTACTTTTTAGTTAAATGCCATCAGAATTTCTTAAAATATTTGGTAAAGGCTAAATGTTAAGGCTCAGACTAGACTCAAATGAGTTGTTCATAGGTTTTCAAATTGGAAAATATAAAGCTTAGTAATAATGAAGTCATTCCTTGTGAGCTAATGTTAGTCAAACATTTAGAGTGTAAGGTATGAAGACACGAAGGTATGAAGACATGAATGGTGTGAATATACTTTGTATACAACCAGAGATATAAAAAAATGTGCTCTAGATGTGTAATATGAATTGTAATGTATTCTGCTATCGTATATAACAAATTAGAATAGAAAATAAAATTTGAAAAAATATCAAAAAAATTTTAGAAAGCATTTCAGGGAATTTCAAATGTCATTCAGGTATTATTCAAGGGAAAGCTGATTCTAATAGGGAAAAAAAAAAGCCACAGAGTTTGATATGTTGTGGCATAAAGAGAAGCAGAGAACTAGATTTCTAATCCTAATTCTGCACAGCTATTACTATGGGCAAACTGGTGGAGTCATTTCTGAGATTTAGTTTCCTCAATCATAGAAGATATTAAAACATGATCACTTCTGATTTTCAAAGCTCTAAAATTCCATGATTTCATGAGAATGTTGGAGCTAATCCTAAATGCAGAAATAGAACAGTTAAATATATGCAAGACAAAAAAAAGGTAATGAGGGAAATTAATATAATCATCAAAGCAAGAAAATGGAAGAATAACAGATTTGATAAATATAATACATCAAAAAGAAAAACTGCAAATAATTTCAGGTGAGAAACAAAGACAAAATAAGCATTTTTTGATGGATTTTCTTTGGATAAAGAAAAATCTTAGTCTTTTCTTTTATTTTCCCTTTTTTAAAAAACCTTATTAGTTTTTTCCCTTATAAAATCTCACTTCAAAATAAAACCTGGTACATTGGTTTCCCAAACAATTATTCCCTCAATCAAATGTTAATCACTGAGGTTATGGTTTTCCCAGAATTACTACTACTTAAGAGTTAGTTTTAAAGCTTTATTAACTTAAAGATTTTTGAAATCTGGCTGAGGATTCTTCACATATCAAACATTTTAACGTAACAAAAATAAAACAAAATATTTAATTGCCAAGGGCTTAGAATAGCCATCAATTAGCTTTCCAGTTTCTAGATTTTCTAAATTAAGATACTATGGCACATTAGAGGCTTTTCAAAATGTAATCCTGAAACTACAGACATCCATCTCATTCTTACAAGAAAGAGGCCTCTGGTCATATTAGAACCTGAGCTTATCCAAAGTTTAAATATATCAAACTGTGAGTTCCAAGTATTTCACACTATCAAATAATACTCTGGTTAAGAATGTGCTATTAACAACTGCATGGAACAAACAAGTATTTGTATGTTTAAATCAAAATAAGGCATACAGACTAGGCTTAGTTCCAGTTTCTTAGCAATCATTGGTACTCTGAAAGGCTTATATGGTTAGAAACCAATCATTTCTGATTCAGAGTGGGTTTTTGAAAACATACTTCATATCTCATGCTTCCCCCTC